GGATGTGCTCGCCCGCACCTCGCAGCCCCCGGGCGCCGAGGGCACGCGCGACAGGGTCGCGCGCACCGGTGCTCGTTTCGAGCACCAGCGTCATGGGTTGCTTCATGCGGCGCAGCGCCTTGACCCGGCCCTCTTGCAAGGCGCGGGAACGGAGTTGTGTCACTCATTCGGTTTCCGAAAAGCAAAAGCCCCGGCTCAGTGGACCTGGGGCTTTGCTTAGCCAGCGCGGTCTGAGGCCGTATCTGTGAACAGACACGGTCCAGCCGGGGCTCGGGAACCGTGTTCAGTCGATCGTCGAGATGAACAGGGAGGACATAGCAGGGATCTCCGAATTGCGGGCGCTGTCGTGGGCGCCTTCAGCAAGGGCGCGAATGATGGGGGCGTTAGCAGCGCCGCGCAAGCGCTGCGGCCGCGAGCCGTTGCAGCCAGCCAACGGCTCGCGGACTCGCCCCAGACCTCAGAACCGCCAGCTCGCGCCGACCGTCAGGTAGCGGCCGACCGCGCCCTCCTGGTGCAGCGACGGGTTGTAGTGCGCGCCGCCCGATGACACGCCGCCGCCCGTCGAGCCCGAGGCGAAAGCGTCGATCGGGGCCGCCCGGTCGAACAGGTTCGTGACCGAGGCGCGCAGCGTGAGACCTGGCGTCAGTTGCCAGCTCGCGTTGAGATTGAACGTCGTGAATGACGGCACGCGGCACAGCGGCGAGCCGCCGGCCGGCAAGCCGTTCGGGAAGATCGTCGACAGCGCCGACGCACAGTCGGGCAGGTTGTAGCTGCTGTCCTCGACCTTCATGCCGCTGATGTAGTTCAGCGTGCCGCTCAACTCCACCGGGCCGCGCGCCCAGGCCAGGCCCAGGGAGGCGCGGTCCTTGGGCGTGCCGGTGTTGGTGGAGACGAAGCTCGGCCCGTGCGTGCCGGCCATCTCGTAGACCTGGCCCGGGCCGCGGTCGATCGTGTAGCGGATCATGTGCGACCACTGCAGCTGCGGCGTGAACTCGCCCCAGGCGCCGGCATTGAGCTTCATGCGCAGGTCCACGTCCACGCCGCTGGTGCGGGCGCTGCCGAGGTTGATGAAGGGGTAGGTGCCGTAGAGGATGGTGTCGTCGGCGCTCGTCGGCGCGGCGTTCGGCGTGGTCGGGCTGTTCACGCGGTAGAGCTTGGTGCCGTAGGCCTCGGGCGTGTCGATCTGGCCCTGGCCGAACAGGCCCACCGAGACGATCTGGTTGCGGATGCGGATGTCGTAGTAGTCCACCGAGATGTTCATCGTCGGCACCGGCTCGAAGATGAAGCCGATCGTCATCGAGCGCGACTTCTCCGGCCGCAGGTCCTTGCCCGGCAGCTGCAGCTGCGTGCCGCCCACGCCGATGTCGCAGGGCTGGCCGGGCTTGACGAAGTTGCACAGCGCGGTGTCCACGAGCGGCGGCAGGTAGCCGGCGCTCGACCCGCTGGTGCCGATCTCGACCGGGTTCGGCGCCCGGAAGCCGCCGGCATAGGTGCCGCGCAGCGTCAGTTCCTTCACCGGCACGTACTTGATGCCGACCTTGGGCGTGACGGAGGAGCCGTAGGTGTCGTAGTGGTCGATGCGCGCCGCCGCGTCGATCTCCAGTTGCTTCGTCAGTGGGGCCGCGAGCTCCACATAGGCCGCGGTGATGGTCTGCTTGCCCACGCCGAAAGCGTAGATGTTGCTGGCCTGCGCACCGCTGGAGAAGCCCTCGGGGAAGCGCTCGTCCAGCGAACGCTTGGTGAACTCCACACCGGTGCCGAGCGCGAGGTTGCCACCGCCGAGCTTCATCAGGTCGCGGCTGGCGCGCAGCGACACGAAGTTGAGCGTGTTGGTGGAGGTGGACCGGCCTTCCGGCGTGAGGCTCGAGAGCACGCTCGGCGGATTGCTGCCGCCGATCACGTACTTGCCGCTGTTGAGTGCGGCCTGCAGCGCGGGCAGGCTGACGAAGTTCTTCAGCGTCAGGTCGGTCGCCACGCGGGTGAGGCCGAGCGTGGCATTCAGGTCCCAGCCGGCCACGGTGCCGGACAGCTCGGCCACCAGGCGCTGCGACTGCGTGGACGTCTGCGAGCGCTGGGCGGGCAGGTCGCTGAACTCGTGGTCCACCGGGCTGCCGGTGGCCGGGTCGATGACATTGGTGCCGTTGAGCACCGTCGGCTGCGGGTTCTGGCGGTTGGGCCCGAAGTTGAAGGTCGTGATGCCGCCCTCGGGCGACACCCAGTTGAGCAGCCCGACCTGGGTCGCGCGGCTGCCCAGCACGGAGGCGGCCACCGACAACGTCCAGTCCTGCGGCAGCAGCGCCGTGACCTTGCCGAGCAGGCTGTAGGTGCGCGTCTCGGGCGCCACCTGCAGCTCGGGGTTGGCCACGAGCCCGAGGTCCTCGCCGCCGTAGCGCGTCCAGTCCG